GAATCAAAACTACCCTAATGTTGTCATGCATGGGTTAACACCTAATGTCTGTCATATTTCTCTCTTGCGCAGAGAGAAACAGAGATCCTACGGGATAAACGAAAAAGAAACAGCATATATACAATAAAGCAGTAAAATGCATGAATGCAGCAGTACAAGCGAGGCAAGGGAGTCCCACTCAACCTCGAACCTGGAAAAAAATAGGCAAAGTGAAACGGCTTCACTTCAAACCTAAGGGGAAAATTAACAAACAATACAGCAAGGAAAAATAAACCCCAAAACCAGCTCTGACAGCACACCAGCTACTACAGCAGCAGCTCTGAAAATCCCATCCAACTCTGACAGTTGATTAACAGCAATCTTCCAATGAACCCCAAAGTCAAAATCCAATGATACCCAAGCTACAACAAGCTTCCATCTCCAAGAAATCACCAAGCTCAAGCAGGCACAGAAGCTCAAACAATTGACAGCATCAGACAGCAAATAGCTCCAAACAGCAGTAAACCCTAGCTTTAACAGCTGCACAGTTTTGACATGAATAACCTTCATCTTCGTCAATCTTTGATCTTCATCTCTATCTTCAATGGCTTCTTTCTTCAAGGAAAGCTCTCCTAGATGAGAATCACTTAACAGAATAAGTTGAATGATAACCAGCTTATTGACAACCAAAGGAAGCCTATAAGTGTTTATCATCATGAAAGACTGGTTCCCTCAAAGTTCTAACTCTAAGGTAAGGCCACTTATCTCTCCAAAGGAGAGAGGTGAATACTCTATAGGGACTTTATATCATAGAGAGGAATGGAAGCACAAGAAGCTTGCCATGTTTGTACAAAGAATTTGTTCTATTCTAAGGCTTTACCTATCTCCTATCTCCTATGTCTTCAATCAACTCCAAGCACAAACAATCTTCAAGCTTCAACATTTGATTATCATCTTCAATCTTCTCTTTTGATATCTTCATGCTCCATAAGCTCAAGCCAAGCCCCATACCCCATAGAATAGCCCAAAAGCCCAAGCAAACAAATATAAACCCCAAGTGGGAACACCAGACAAACACTCCATTTGTAAAATATACTAAAAATAGCAACATAGTATTTAAAATTCTAAGATTAATTCTAAGGGGATTTCTACATCTACCCTACATACCCTATATGTCCCAGAACCTAATTCATGCTAAAAACCCCCCAAAATAAAATGTTAGAATGCACCTATGTTGAGTTTGAACCCTACTACTATCACCCTAATGTTCTCTAATCAAAACTAATCAAGATTAATCCACTAAAATGTGGAATAAATCTCTAAGGGAACCTATACTTCTAATCTAATCAACCCAACAAGAATCAACTCAAAACTATTCACCAATTGGTCACAAGAAAATTTACAAAAACATGTATCGAATGTACCAAATTAAAGAAGTTAATAAAATGGGAAAAATCAAATTAAATTTAAAAATGGGTGAATATGAAATTTATTATTTTCGTAAAATCACAAATAAATCCAAGATCATGGAGGTATTTTTGAAATATTTTTATGATTAATTTTGGATTTATTATGATTTATTTTTTTAAACTATATGCAAATATGAAAGAAAAAGAAAATTCAATCAAAATTGAAAAACAGGGGGCGTCAACAGCAAGTATTTATACTTCAGAACTACATTGGGCCCAGGAGGGGGGGTGCTGGTAGCACACGCTGGGCCCAGTATCAATCCAGAAGAAAAAAAAAACACTAAGAGAAAAAAAAACGGGGGGTTGCGAATAGCAACGAATTCGCTTTGTATCCACGTTTGGGCCTCAAACGGGGGGTGTGAGCAGCAAATCTGCTAGGCCCAAACAAAATTCACACCAGGGGAGGGGGTGTCAAGGGAAAACATGGAGTATGGTTAGCAAGCCTCGTGACTGGGCCTAATGCCCGAGCCCAATTCAATCCACCTTCAGCAAAGCAAAACCCTAAAATTCCTCTAACACTCCATTCACACTGCTACTGTTCACTACCCTCTCCAACGAAACCCTAGCGGCGCTCCCTCCATCTCCCTCACTGAAACTCTCTCCACCTCTCAATCTCTCAACCTAAAACAAAACCTAAACCTCTTTCTAATCAGAATACTCAACGTGCATCCAAACTCACAACAGCAAACAACGATTCGAAGGAAAAAAACGTACCTGATGAAGTGTGAAATCTGGAGATTGATGAAGATCGAGAAGTCTTGATGGCGATCTTGAAGCCGGTGATCGAAGATACTCAAAGAAAATTGAAGAACGACAAAGGATCCGTCGAAACCGCGATGAACTCAACGGAAGATCGAACAAATCTTGGCGAAGAATGTTCTTGGTATTTGGATGAAGATCGTTGACGACGCACGCATTGAAGGTTGTTGAATCTCTGGAAGCCGCCTGAAGAACACTTGAAGGTTCTCTTCTGGAAAGAGGTGGATGGCCTGATAATGATTCTTGACTGTCCGGCGAAACACTGATGAACGCGTTCTAACTGTGAACTCTGATGAAGTTCGTGAGGGTTTCTGTGGAGGCTTTTGGTCGTAGGAGATGAAGATCTTGCTAATCTGGAATACTTGGATGAAGGTTGAACATTGATCGGTGAATCTATGAAGAATTGGATGAAGTTGATGCAATTTGTAGTTTTCGGCGAGTTTGAAGATTCCGGCGAGTGGTTTGGCAGTTACCGGCGAGAAGTTACGGTGGAGGACGGTGTCTCCGGTGACGTTTGCATGGCCGGCGGTGGGAATCCGTTGGTGGGACGCGTGGCGCTTGCATGCAATGGGTGGTGGCGGTGAGTGTTCAGGGCATGACAAGTGGCGCTGAGGGAGGATTAGGGGAAGCCACGTGTGATCAGAGAGGAGATAGTGGAGTGTGTGTTGTCACGATTCTGAGTGTGTGTGAGAGTGAGGTGGCTGAAACTGGGGCTGCACGCGTGGCACTGCTCTTATAGTGACAAGTGGCATGCGAAATGGATCCTCTGACTGGGCTTTGGACTGGATAATAGGCCCAATTGGCCTAAACTCTGATTAAACTCTTAAAAAACAAAATTAACTGAAAATTAAACCTAATTAATCCTAAAACGAAAATTAATAATAAAACCTAATTAAAATCTATCATTAATCCTAATTAAAGCCTAAAACGAAAATTAATAAAAAAATCCTAATTAACCTATTAAAAAACAGAAAAAAAATTACTTAATATCTAAAAACTATTTAAAAAATCTAATTAAATCTAAAAAAACAATTAAACTCTAATAATAAAAAAATTTGAAAAACATTAAATTCCAATTTTAAAAAATCTATTCTTATTTTAAGAAAATTAATATCTAGTTATCTATTTTTTTTAAAAAAATCTATTAAAAGGAAATTAATATCTAAAAAACTTTTAAATCTATTAAATCTCAAAAAAGAAAAGAAAATCTATTTAAAACTCTAAAAATTATTAAAAAAATCTATTAAGTTCTATAAACAAAATACCATCCTATTTATTATCTAAAAAAACAAATAACCCTATTAAAATCTATTAAACGCATTAAAAATCTATAAAATACAAGAAAAATCCTAAAAATGCTAGGAGGCCGATTAAATCGATTATAAAACGATTGCACAACCATAACGAAACCCGGGCACCGAGATGGCCTGAAAACACAGGGAACGAACACCAATTCTCGAAATACACCTATTCAAACCGGCCTGAACTGCCTGAAACGCCAGGGGCTGCAATCCCGATAAAATCAATTTGACTGAGAAAATTCAATGCATGCAGTATGCGAATGCGAATGCAAAAATGCGTTGAAACATAAACCAGATATGGGAACCGGTTGGTCAAATTTTAGGGTGCAACATGTAGTCTTTCATGAAAGCAGACGTCGCAGCCTGCTTGGACAGCCCAACTTCAATAACGAATTGGCAGAGGGTGCTCAAAAGAAGGAACCCAATGCTCTGCAGGAACAAATACCTTAGCATGTAAGAAATTCAAAGAAAATACTTGGTTCTAAAACAAAAGAAGAAAGAAAATTAAATTAAACTAAACTAAACAAATACTTCTGTTAGCAGCTTCTCCTTGGTAACTGACTGACGTAATGCCACAATCCCAAATGTGCTCAAAAGAAAATTTGCTACTTTTCCTTCCTCCACTGACAGCAAAGTTTAAGTGAGAAACATATTGGCGATGAATTTTTACCATTCTGGATATACTAAGTGGAGAGCATATGAAAATTTTCACACTTACAGATATAACTATTTGAAAGGAGACTGCATGAGCGTATTCCTAGTAAAAATAATGTAAAACTTGAGGAAGTGATAATTGAAGAATTTCCAGACGACGAAGAAGAATTTACACCAAGCTGTTTAGTGTCCCTTAAAATAGCATAAACTTGAAATATAAGAGACATTAACATGATTCCTATGCCACTTTCCATCATGTTTAAATCAAACTCGGTCCATTTATAGCGAACTAACTCAGCAACTGTTGTTACAAATTTGAAGTATGCATCAATTTGCCACTTAAGTGCAGACATTAATGCATCACTGTCACCATCACTATCAAGCAGAAGATTTTTGGTGGAGTGCAACCAATCATTCTCTGCTTCAGCATAAACACTTGCTATTCGGGATAAGTCATCATGAGAAAATCTAACAGTTGACAAAGCTGAGTAAGCATCTATATATCTCTTCACCTGAAAAAGTACACAGTTAAAATGACTAAATAATGTCTTTCACACACATGTGCACGCTTGAGAGTATAAAAAACTCGAATGTGACAAACATAATTCAAGAGGAATAGAAAGATGTATTATAGATTAAAAATAAGAGGTATTACAGAAGAGAGAGATCCTCATTATTCATAGATCCCATGGTTCGATACGATAAAGATTGATCTCTCTTATAACATCAAGATCAATTTTCTGAGAAGCAATTTTCTTTCTGAGATAATAACCAACAAGTTCTTCATCAGTTGGGTGGAAACGAAAGCCTGGTGGGACACATAACTCCATGGACTCCATCATATCAAATTATAGTCGTTGCTGCATAAAATTCACCACCACAATTAGTACTCACCACCACACTCACTTGACTTTCTTCATCATGTTTGAATTATAACCAAACATGATGTGATGTATGTGAGTACAAATATCAATATATATAAGCGCATGTTATCAAACAAAACCTGTTAATTTCATAAACAATGATATTCTCCCCAACACACCAGCAAGAACATCCATCTTCACTTCCGCTTGAGAACCTCTGTCTTCAGTTTCATAAAATAGTATTTAAGAATGTGAAACTACACTTCATAAAATGCTAAATATAATGCTTATTTCTACTATATCCAACAAATTAGGATAGAAAAGAAACCAAAAAATAGTCTAGTGTATTGATGTGAATCAATGTGTATTGTTCAATATCCTAGAGTAAGTAAAAAGCACCTATGCATTGCATAATCTCCACATTTGCTGCAATATACTATTGCCTCTTCAAAGCCTTCATCGCCACATGTAAGACAAACTAATACCTGCAACAAGCAAGAAAAGTTTAAATACAATGATTCATAAAAGTTGTATATAACAACAAAAAAGCATATATTTTAATAAAAAATATACAATATTATTTCTTACTTCCATTGGAAATCAGAAAACGAGAAATACTTGAGACAAATTAATTCTCCCCAACACACCAGCGAGAACATCCATCTCCACTTCCGCTTGAGAACCTGTCTTCAGTTTCAGTTTCAACACTGACCTCAGAAGCGGCATGAATCTCAATATTTGATTCCTCGGTAGGAGGTTGGCTCTCAATATATGCTATAACTTCTGATAGTTGAGGTTCTGTTTCAGTATGTAGACCACATTCAGTCATGGGTTCCTTCATCTAAACACATAATAATCAGCATACCGTCCACACCGTCAAGCCCGAAATCATTCAGTGTGCAACTTCTTGGAAATGAAGAGGGTGATATAGGGGGTAGTGATGGGAGGATACTTACAATGTGTTGTGCATATGTAGAGCATAACAGAATTTCAACTCAGGTTGTGCATATGTAGAGTATAGCAGAATGTAGTTTATCAACTTATACCAATACAATTTGTATTTTAGGAATCAAATTTATAAGAATTAACCATCGAAACATTGACTGCTAAATGTATTAAAACTAGTATCCAAACATGTGAGTTGTAACATTGACTCCTAAATAAACCTCTAAATGTATTATCATTAGCTTGAATGATGACAACATGTAAGTTGTAGACATAACTATCCAAAGACACATGTTATTGGTTAAACAAAGGTGAAGCATATTATACTGTCTTCTGCGTGTTACAATTTGCAGACAGAATTGACAAATTTATTATAACTTGCAATGAAATAAACAAACAACAAAATGAAGAAAATATCACATTAATATATAGAAGCCTCATTACAAAACTAATATTCATGACTCACTGAGTTCAAGATATTAAGAAAAGCTTAGATGAATTACGACACGCTAAAACAACATTACAGCTTAGTGTCTAGAATCATTCCTTACAAATATGGTGTCAACAAAATAATTAAAAGCTACAAAATATGAGGCTTGGAATATTATGACCATTAGATCAATCCTTCATGTGTTTGGCTTTTTTGTGAATTGCTTAGGAGTTAGGTCCTCATTTTAGAAAAGCGCATCAAGACATGTTGAAATAGCAACCCTCTTAGCAGGGGTGTTGCTGGAGCTGGCCGATGGCCTACAAGTTTGGTTGGTGGATGTGGAGAATACTTACAGATATAGAAGGAGTTGTTTTCTTGTGAACTCAAATTTTTGGTTGCACATGTTGTGGGTGAAAACACAACGTCCCGACAGAAGATATAGATTTTACATAGCAGCCGTGTTTGCAAGCAGTGCCTAAACAAAACCAACCAGAATTAAATAAAATCCTCAACCAAAATCTATTCTACTTTAAAGCTAACATATAATCAATTCTGAAATTTATTAAAAGTGCTAGTCATATGACACAAGATTTTTTGATCAAAACATAAATTACTTCACCTTAAACTCACTTCAACTAAAATCAATCTTCTTAATCAAAACATAACTCACTTCACCTTAAACACAGTCAATGCCAACAGATCACTCGCCATAACAACCTTAACCTCATTAGCATGAGCCTTCTTAATAAACTCACTGTAATCCAAAACCTCGCCTTCAGTACCAGGATATTGAACAAGAACACCACAAACATCACCAGATTTGTAATAACTATCCTTAAGATCTTTCACCACAACCTTGAGCTCAAATCCATCAGCTCTCGTCTGACATATATCAATGGTTTGCGGATGATAATTACTAGCAATAATGAAAGTTTTCTTCTTACCCTTTTGAATATTATTACACATAGACATTGCTTCCGCAACAGCAGTACCTTCATCAAGCAATGAATCACTCAGTTTCAACGCTTCCACGGAGATGGATCGAGATTGTGATGGATAACCAACACCGAGAAACCCACCACTTGCAACGGCAGCAACCTGTTGTTCTAAATCAGTCGTTGTCTCTCGGGCTCAGGATTTGCTTTCACCGCCAATCGTGTAAATCGCTTGACCATCCCCACCTTACCATTGCCTTTACCACTTACAACTGCAACACCTTGTTCTACCATATTCAACATCTCTTCACAAGACTCGGCATTTTCTCCCATTTCTAAACGTGTAAACCGCTTCAAATTTCTCACTAGCACTGCGACATCGCCTTTAACACTTATAATTGCAGCATATTGTTGTTCTACTACAGTCAATGTCTCTTCACAGGACTCATCCTTTTCTTTCGTTGCTGAACGTGTAAACCGCTTTCATAGCCGATTTAGTAATCCATTTAAATAAAGGCCGTTTCTGCAACCTCTCGAAACTCACTCTTCAAACCATCACCAGACTCGTCGTCTTCCCTACTTACCATTACACACATTAAAACTGTTGTGCATTCCGATTCTGTCTTCACTGATACATTCATGAAAGGGGTTTGTGACAGAATTTGAGAGAAAGAGAAGATCGAGAAATTGAAAAATGTCGAGGGATTTAGAGGTTAAATTGGAGAACAAATCATTAAAAAAGAATTGAAGGTCAAATTGAAGATGGTTGAATTCAGAGATATGGGATATTTCGGAAACCGTATGCAAGAAGAAGAAGGTGGAGTCCACAACTTTTTTTTCAATATTTTTTTAAAACTTAAACATGTTTTTAATTTATAATTTATAATTTGTAATGCATTTATAATCTCTATAAAACATTTATATATATTAACATTGTTACTAAAATTAATTTTAATAAAAGTTAATTATTTATATAATAAAACAGAAAATATTTTACTATTATTTTAGATAATAATATTAAGCTACATTATCATGAAAATTATAATAATTATAATAATTATTTATTAAATTAATTAGTTAAATTGAAAAGGTTAGAAAATAAAAATGAAAGAAAAAAATAGAAAATTAAAGGAATAAAAAAAATAGTGATTATGATTGGCTAAAGTAATTGCGACAGTTCGTCTTAACTGTCGCGAATGTGAAAAGAGGGCGGTTCTTTGGTAACTGTCGCATTATTTTATACAACATGCCTAAAAAATTTGCGACGGTTGGCTCAAACCGTCGTGAGAACTGTCGTGGTCCAGGAATAAGGACGGTTTTTTGATAACTGTCGCAAAAAATCTATGACAGTTGACCCTAACTGTCGTGACAACCGTCACAATCCAGGAATAAGGACGGTTTTGTAATAACTGTCACAACTCAAGTGTCGTAAATCTTCTTTTTTCTTGTAGTGATAACTGTAAAATGTACAGAAGGCTTTTGTTTCTTACCAAAATAGGTGACACCTTGAGTGATTTTAGTCTCCTTATCCCTTTACTTGACCATGTAAAGTTTCTAGTGAGAGAATTGGAAAAGAAAGGTAAAGCTTTGACTTCTCTATCTGTTACAAAGGCATCAGTTTCAATCGCTCAAGGGGATCTCTAGAACTTCTGAGAATGTATCTTTAACTAAAAACTAATATGAACTGGATGATGTCGTCCTTACATATATCTCATACTCTTTTGAGAATGCTTTATTACAAGTGGAACATGTTTACTCCCCTTCACGCATTTTGAGGGAGCAAGTAAAACCGAATTAGACAATTAAAGATGGGAAAATTGTTTTTCTCAGGGATTAGCCACGCTCGTCTCTCCTTTTTTTTACGTTCTTGATTTGTTCGTTCATGTAAATGTAACCCCCTACAATATAGAACGTGAATATATGAATTTGAAAATTGGATATTGTTCTTACTTGATTAAGGGATTAGCCACGCTCGTCTCTCCTTTTTTCACTCGAAGTTTATTAGACATCTCTAGGATCGTCCTAGGCCAAGTGTCGATACCCCTTCCCCCACCCAGGTATAAACCTGATCCGAAGTTGATGTGTGGCAAATCCACTGCGACCTCTAGAGTGACTAGCTACCAAGAGAGGGCAGGAATTTTTTTTTGCTAATTTTAGTGGTTTTACCCCTTCTTTGTATGTGTTATTTTCATCATGGGGTTTTGATTGCTTTAGTGAACACGTGTGGAATTTATGATAGCACCCGTGAGTCTTTATGGTGGAGCTTTGATCTCCTCGATCATACCAGGATTCATCATTACCTTTCATAGTCACAAAGAAAAAGAGATATTTTAGAAGGAAATTCTTGTTTCATTAAATGAAATTATCGTGATACATTGGGATAATGTAATTCAAATTTACAGAAAATAATTAACATAATAAAACCATTAACATAACCAGATGGGCTTGCCATTACTTATTCGCCCCACCATTTGTAGTTTTTTGAATCAACCAATCTTACTTATCTGGATGGCATAATCTATTTTATTACGGGGGAGAATATTCATGTCCCTTTGTCTGCTAGTGAGGGAGGTTAAATTGATCTCCATAACTTTGTATTCCCTTTCCTTTTTATCTTCCTACAATATTTAATAGATTCTCTTGGCTCTAGCAAGGTTGGCATTAATTGTGACTAGTTCACAGTGAATGTTCTAGAACTTCAACTTGAGGTAAACCAAACATGTTATAGTTTCTAGAACCACCGAAAAGGGTATGTCAAGGATGGAATTGTAAAAGCTCTTGTAGGGGACCATCAAGAAATGTGAGCTAAAATTCGTAACATCTTCCCCTTCCCTACAGTAATCATCAATTTAATGTACGATACCCTCAAGGACGGGTCATTGTATCATTGAATTCTTGCAAATTAGATCCCTCATACGACCACATGTTTTCTTTCTTTAGGCCTATCTTGTCGAACGACTTGTGTACATTATGTTACAAGAGCTACCATTACCAATCACTATCCATCACACATCAAAGGGACCGATTATGGCAGTTATGAAAAATGCGAAGATATCATTGAGACCCCCGACCTTTTTACTACCATAGTTTTCATCAATAATCGACGTAATATATTTTAAATGAGTCCTCAAAATATGGCGTTATTATGTTTTTTATATTTATTATTTTTAATTAATACTTTCACGTCGAGTTTTATATAAAATCGATGTGTCACATATTTTGCATGAAATGCTACATATTGCTATCAAAAATCAAGTGCCATTTCGTCACTCTCATTTCGCAAAAAAAAAATCTAGGTGATTGTCATCTTCCCTCTCATCAAATATCATCCAAGGGATATTCTTCAAAACTCGAATATCATCTCTATTCCAATCAATACTCGTTTGAGGTATGTTTGTTCATTTTGTTTTTCACTA